TAGAAGGGCTTCTATAAAAAGGTGCTTTTTAAAATTATTTTTTATTATTTTCTCATTCCTCCCTCACCTCTCTATGGCGTCCATAGTGAGCCCTGGATTTAGATGCTAACTCTCTTACTTCAAGTAGAACCCAATGGTTATTGTTTTAATTAATTCTGTAGACCCAAAGGCTGGCCTGAAATAAGCAGCAGGAAAGCAGCTACGGAAACATAAGCATTTTTTGATGTATTGTTTGTCTGCGTGATTCCCGGTGCTGAACTAATACACTGCTGCCCCTGCCTCATTTGCTCTTTGTTATTATGTTGGGGTTTTTTAGGGTAAGTGATAGCTAGTGTGTTATCATGGCTTAGTAACACCACGCCCCATTTGAGCTGTGGTGACTGCCCTTGTCCATGCTTTTAACCCACAAAAAAGCATGCAAAATAATTTGACCTGGTCTACCGTAACAGCGCTAAACCAAATTATCTTATATCTGTCGTGGTTCAAAAACCCCACGCTGCGAGTTCCCGCGGCTCAGCTAACATGGTGTGACTTAGGTGATGCAGAACGTAGCATCGCCCTTTGCCGCTGAACTTCCAATTATTTCCTTTGCTGAACCCAAAATCCAGTCTGCCCTGTGCATGCTTTGGGTGCTTGCTGTCACGTTTCTGCAAGTCAGGATAGAAGTCACATTCACCAACACCCATTTATGGTTTACCCATAACCCGTCTGATGTGCTTAGACAAGATTGGGGTAAGACAACACTGATGTGGTTGCGATTACTTGGTGATACGATTACTTCTAATATTACAGCAATTGCGTGATGAGTATCGCTGGGCTACCACAGAACTGAACTTGGGTACAAATGCTTTTCCAGATTCACAAACTTGCTTTTCCCAGTTCACAGGTCTCCCTTGGGATTTGTTTTCTAATGCCTCTAATTATTTACACAAGCACCGAGACTCTGATGAAGGAAACAAACTGAAAAGCTAATCCTGTGTGGACAAAGTAGCTGGTGTGTTCACAAGAGGTTGTAACCTTGGTTACTTAAATATTTAATGTTCTTCCCCTCATGCTTTTAAACTGAACTTTTGCCCTGGTTAATCTAGGGGTTCGCTTATATCAGGCAGGCTGAGTTTCTCAAAATTTTGCTACTATATTATTAATATCTGCTCTTTAAAATCAGAGTCACCACAGAATTCAAAAGTGTCCATTTTAGATACAATTCCCAATTACTTTATAGTAATAGTATATACAGTAAGAGGGGGTGTGTGTATATATATATAGTAATATATAATATGTCCTATAGTAATAGTGTATATGTATATAGTAAAGAGCCCCATTAAACAGCTAGTTATAAACCTGCCAGTTTGACTCTTACGAAAAGTAAGATAAATTTCAAATCAGTGAAGGTATAACAACCTGGAGGACATCATTTATTTAGGCTCTGATTCTGCATCCACGGGAACCAAGGAAGCTCCAATTAACGTTTAAACACGGGTAAGAGGGCATTGAGGAGTCTTGCAGATGGAAATCAGATCAACCTCTGCTTCGAAGCAGCTGTGCTCCCGAATGCGAAGAGCTCGATAGAGCGTGATCCCCTCTCCTGTGGGAAGAAGGAATACTTACCTTCTGCAGAAAGAAAACACTTGTTTTCATTATTTGGAAAAGACCGATTCTAATGATGTTCACGGTAGCGATTTACTTGGTAGTGCATAAAGAGTTGTGTTCTGATTATAAAGTACCTTGAGATGCCAGTTCCACTTAAAGAGCAAGACTCTTGGGAAACACCCGCATGCTTCCCTGAACGCAATCAGATCAGCTTTATTTTCTTTTTTTTAACAAACATTAGATCACATTTTTCCAGTAACAGATATGTTCCAATATGTATCCAAGTCTTTGTAACGGTGAAGCTGCTATACAAACTTTCTGATCCGACCGTTCCGTTTACCGTCAGTATTTTGTGAAAAGATTGAACCCTTCTGAGGGTTTCCCCGAGGCTGGTCTGCCATACCTCGGGCCAGACTGAAAGAACAGCCTTAAATTCCCCCAGTTAGCTTTTCTGTTTGGGCCACTAAGGCAAGAATTAAAGTAGAAGGGAAGAAAGCCATCTTTTTTTCCATAACGGTTTGAAAGATAAGCAAGGCACGTGTGGGCCTCACTCCTTCAATGCGGAAACAGAAGTTTCTGCTCTTTTTCTTTTTGATGACTTCTGTGACCGCCCGGTTAAGTACAAGCAACAGAAAAAGCACGGTAACTTCAGCAGGTGGGTCCGCCCGGCCTGCCCCAGGCCGGCCCTGTCGCCTTCCCGTACATGCCAGCAGCAAAAAAAAAAAATGCCGTGTACTTATGCTGGCAGCCGCAGCGCCGCTGTCCCGTAACACCGAGCTTACTTAATAGAAAGCCCCAGTGCGCCACTGACAGTCCATTATTACTTTTTTTTTTATTTTAAATTTTTAGAAGTCGTTCCATCAATGCGATGAATAGTTCTCGCAAGTAACTGAATCCTTAACAGAATGACTGAGGCTGAAAATGTGTTTTTCCCCAGCCCAAGTCTAAAGGACAGCCTTCCAAACAGCTTCTTTGGGTACAAAGTAAGCTCACCTCACAAAAATCCAATAAATGACTTTATTAAATATATTCTTTTCCTCTAAAATATAAATATTCACTGTACTCTTATAAATGTGGAGTAGGTCCATATTTCATTTGTCTAGCCCATCCAAATATGAATCAGTCCAAAATCTGAAAATGAAGAAATAGCATCTGTAATTATCATTATTTTTTCTATAAATATATATAATATGAATTTTCTTTGCAAACCGTTTAGTTATTCACTTATACTTCATATAGTACTGAGCACCTTAGATTACATATTGTGTCATTTGATTGTTGGTACTAATATAAGAATTTGTAATATTTACAATGCGCATACATAGAATCATAGAATCACAGAATTGTTTAGGTTGGAAAAGACCTTTAAGATCATCGAGCCCAACCGATAACCTAGCACTGCCAAGTCCACCACTAAACCATGACCTAAGCACCACAGCTCCGTGTTAGGTGTAACATTCCAGGGATCTGTAAGTGTTAAAGGAATACAGAAATAGTGCAGTATCATTTACGTATGGATTTAAGCTGCCTCACAGCATGCAAGTTTTCACTTTAACTCTCGGGAACTTTTACAGGAGCCTGCGTCCAAATTTTTATGTGATACTTTGGCACAGCAACAACAATGATGTCCTGAATCGCTTTTTAAAATCTTCACACAGCGGTTTACTTGACGACGTGATGCTCAGAGACCCAGCCCCCCAGCGTACCGACTGCTCTCAGCTTCTCCGAAGATCTTCTAGAAGCTTCTGAGCCAAAGGAGACCCAAGTCACCGCCACGGAAAGTTACGTGACCGGCAGCGGTCGTGAAGTGAGAAATGTCCGTGTGGCAATCATTGCTAAGTTACGGAACGTGTTGTCTCCCACCTTGTGGATTTACACAAGGAATTAATTTTTAAATGCAAGTACCATGCCAGTAAAAACCAAGTTCGCAGCTAGGTGAATCCCCTCCCAGGCTCGCTTTTGTCTGGCGAGGTGCTGGGAGCGGGGCTGCTCTTCCCAATGGCGATTTAGCTGCTGTTCTTCAATGATTATTTTCTGTGTTTGTGAATTCAGCCCATCATCTTCTTAATTTTTTAATTAGTTTTGATGATTAAGATACCTATGGAAACCACCATGAACTAATTCCTATGCTGTGAATAAGCAACATGACTTATGCTTAACGCTCAACCAAACTGTGTTTTTAATTTTCCTCTTTGCCAGCCAAGTGATGCTAAGTTGATGTGCTTTCTCAAGAGTAACAGAAGTGGTGTAATATGACAAGTGAACTTCCACAAACTTTGGATTTATTACTTCCCAGACAGTTCCTGTCCTTCAAAGTGTGAATTTAGGGCAAAACTCTAAAAGCAAACAAAACCCCACCCCTATATGAAGCAGTTCTGTTACAAAGTAAGAGCCACATAAATGTCGTCCCTGTTCTGCTTCTCTCTGTTCTCCCCCAACCACATGAAGCCAATTTAGCAGTTCCAGGTGCAAGCCGTGTGTGTCATTTCTGATGGTGAAGGTCAGCGTTCCTGCCGGCTGCCTGCTTTGTGCCCAACCTAACCGTGAACAAGGCCGAAACTCAGGGATTCGCACGTTTCGAGTTAAAACAGCAAGCTGCGGTGCGAAACAGAACTAGTAGTTATGGGTAGCAAGGTGAATGTCTTATGTTTCAGCAGAAGGAATAAATGTGGACTTGCCAAGTCCTGCTCGTAGGAGCAGCTCCTTCCATATTAAGGCTTTTCTGGCACTGCAGCTCCTGTTCCTGCCCCGGTGCGGTTCCTCACTGTTGTGGAGCTGCTTGAATAACTTTTCTAATCTAATCTAGAAAACTCAAAAAAAAAAAAAAAAAAATCAAGTCTTTCTCTTTCCTCTCATTTGTTCTTCTCTCAAGACCACCCAACCAGCCTCGGCAGAGCTGAGGGGGTGACTCAGTTGGGGTAGGAGGACAGGAAGGTCAGCATGGCTTTCGGCTGGAGAACTCTGCTGGGGAAACGGGCTGGCAGAAGCTTCGGTCGCGCGTCAACATGGATTCAGGTAAGGTGAGGACGCTCCTACCTACACCCCGCTGACAGCTGGCTCTCCATACCTCACTACAGCTAGTCTTGCTTTGGGTCCGTCACTAGGAATGTACGCAGGATGTCTTTATCATTTAATTTGAAAGTGCCTCTCGGCAGGGACCCCCCAGCTGCTCGCTGACCACCGCTGTATTGCTTTAGAGCATCCTACTCAAAGGCGCATGTTTGCAATACTCTGGGCATTCAAGCAACAGGTTCTGACAGCGCTCCAAAAGAAAAATCTTCTGTAAGTGGTGCACAGGTTAGAGCAGAAAAAATGTTTTACTTTTGGGTGGTGGGACAATCTTGTTTGGAGAACTTCTACTCAACCAACCTTGAGCTTGCATCGCAACCAACCCCCTCTCTTGTCTGCTTAGCCCTTTACTTATTCTATATAAACAAGTACATTGAAATAGGCACAATTTATGATTCTGAAACATTTACACGTATGGTACTACATGCTTTTACTGTCTCACATGGGATTTTGAAATCCCATTATTTACAATGTAAGCCACTGTTTTACTTGTCATGCCACCTCTTTAGCTGATCAAAATGAAACCTGGGCCTTGGAAGATTGCAGAAATGACCAAGGCCCGGCCACTGAACCCCCGGCTGGTGTATGCTGCTAGCTGTACGGGTTGCTGCTGTTGACTGTATTCGGATTAGCACGGTCGCTCCATCTTTCTTTGAAGAAACAGATGTGTCCCACTTATGCCACCAAGCCAAGTCTTGTAATCTTTGCTGACAGGAAGGAATGAATGATGAACACAATTGGTTTTGGACAGGAATGAAGGTCCAGTTGCTGTAAGTACAGAAAGAAATCAAGTTGAGAATGATTAGATTAGATTACAGCTCAAATAAGCAATCATTTACAGAGTACTTGATTAACTGCTGCCTGGTATTTTCAACAGGCTTCTATTAATAACAACCCTTTATTACAACATGTTGTCTTTCCTTTGCATACAGCTGCAAATATTTAGGTTACTAAAAGTAAGTAATAAGCATCTTGAGAGCAGATGAGAGCCTGGTGCCTCTGGGCTTGCATCCACCTGGGTAAGCAGCTGAAAACAGAGTCAGATGCTGCAAGCAGTCTTCCAAGAGTTTCAACCCCTCCATCTTTTCAGGCTCTGTTTTTGACCAGGGATGGTGGTGGGACTGCTGTGTCCAACACCCAGTGCATCTGCCGGTGGTCACAGCTGAAGCCAGGATACTGCATCTGCAGCTGATGCTGCATGGTTGCTCCTCTGTTCCCGCAGCCGGCAGTGAGACTGAACTGAGATTTTTTTTTTTTCTGTAGTTTCGGTTCAGATGATCCCACCACGTGCTTGCTAAGGATGACAGACTTGTCAGTGGGGACGGCAGGTTCAGCTCTAGGTTCACATCAAAACAAACCAGATTTGCCATTCCACCAGTCATGCATCAACTTTATTGAGAGCTAGTAACAAATTCCCTCCTGAAAGCCTGACAATAAGCAGTTCGCCGAGTATATGTTATCAAAGGTGACGTGAAAAATTAAGCACCCAACGTGCCCAGGAACTGCTGAAAAATTTGACAGGAAAGACCATGTTCTCATGCATAATTTATGGTATCTAAACTGCCTGTAGGAATAAGCACCTTATTTTTAGGCATTGTGACAGCTAACTTAGAGGCCTAAGCAGACAGTTTGCACTACAGCTGTAGTCTTCAATTTTCTTCATCAAGTAGATGTTCAAAAATGTCTAAAGACATAGCTTGTTGTGATAACATAAAGTCCCTATGTGTACACTGGAATTAACAATATCTCATTCTCAAGTTCTTCCACCTGCAATCAATTAAAAAGTGAAATGGATACATATAAAAATTCCAACACCTGGCTATTTAGAGATACCATTTGTTCTTAAATGTAAGAAATCTTTCATCCCTCTTTGCATGGTTTTAGCATTTTGTCTCTCTTTTTAGTTTATCTCCTTCTAAAGCCACATTGTCATGCTGTACTAGAAAGCACGGCGTCTAAATACTGGTACTGGAACCTGGTACTGGCCAGCTGTCATTAGAATAGAACAGAACAGAACTGAATAGACTATTTCAGTTGGAAGGGACCTACAACGATCATCTAGTCCAACTTCCATTAGTGCTTCTCCACCCCCACAGCCTGAAGGACCACCGAAGAGATGGTAACATGAGGGATCTCTGCTAAACGCAGTACTTACAATTTCTCCGTCCTTTCCTCCAAAGTCTAAATAAAGCATCCTTATCCCATCATCTGAGGACATTTTCAGTTTTTCGTAGGGATATTGTGCAATTGTCTTAGAGAAGGCACCATCTTGCGGTTCAGTTGTAAGAGAGAATCCATGTTCGTAATGGATGGTCAAACGGCACTCCTGGCTTTTATATGTGCAAGCTGAAGAAGGAAACAAAATTTAGCCTGTAATGTTCTTAAAGGCAACAAATTCCATTTGGCTGCAGATATCTGTGTTTTACATTCGAGCTCAACACTGTCTCGCAGAAACTACCCTTTCCTCAAACTGGGCTAATCATGCTCTAACTGTAAACCTGCAGATCTGGAAAAACAACGTAAATCTTTCTGTTGTGCAAGGTCCAAGCAAGGTCTGTTAACTCTGGTGTAAACACACAGACTAAAATTGTGCTTGGCAGCAGCAGTACTGATGTCAGTCCTTTCAGTTATTCGCTGCGTTCTTCATGTTGCAGCGTACATCTACGTGCTGCCCAAAAACAATCTACTGAAGGTTAAGGCGGCTCAGGCTGACATTTCCTCCTTCCAAACCTCGACAAAGTCACAACGACTCTTCTTCTTACGTCTGACAGACATAGCCAAAATCAATAAACGCGGCACACAACACATGAAGCTGTAAAGGGTTTCCCTAAAGTTTTTTGACAAAGATGAAGACGCTCCTGAGTCCTCATTAGTGTCGTGGTAATTGAAAAAGGGCCCGGATAATCGTATATAATAGCTACTGCAGCAGAAAGTCTGCATCTTCCCCTCAGCTTGGAAACATAGGCCATGATCCAAATTAAAAAATGAATAGTTTAGGTGTTCACATCCCAAATGCTCTTTTCCACCACTTTCCTGTGAACAAGTCTGCCAAGAAGGGTCCTTGGCACTGGGATAAAAGCACCGCGATAAAAGAAGGGGCTGATGCCCTCCTGCTTTTGAAAAGAAAGGGATCCATGGCACTGGGCTGAGATGGCGTGCCCTCGAGGTGGTTCCCACTGAACACTCGGGTTGGTTTCCATGTCAGAGGCCCTCGCAAAGCCACCTGAGCCTCCCGCGAGGCACGGGGACTGGCAGCCTACGGGCAGGCGTCCCCGTGCTCAGCAGCACGGGGCTGTGCCTGACGGCTTCACGAAATCAGAGCTGCCCTTCGTCATGGAGTGGATTTGTGCTTTGGCTCTTGCTCTCACATTTTTAGGCAATGAGTGGAGATAACGTTCAACTTTAACAGCCTTGGCAACTGGACAACTAGTGGGGGAAGGACTCCCAGATTCTGGGGGTGCTCAAGGGAAAGACACAGCCTGAGAGCTCCAGAGCTAGCAGCTACCTGGCCAAACGGGACATCACTCCAGAGCACCTGCAGCCGATTCCTTTTATTCCAGTCGATTTTGCATGTACAGAAGGGCCGAGAAGCGACCCCCTGATGTTCAGGGAGGGAAATGACTAGCAACCAAAATGTGGCTATTGGACTGGTTTATATTTTTTTACTCTTCTCAGGTGTGCAGAGCTGGGTGAACAGATGACCAGTTCACGCTTCTGAATGTGCCGGTCCTCCTCTGCCCCCTCCCTCTGCAGGAGAAACTCCCACATGGCTGTCAGGAGTCTCCTGAATCTCAGAAAAATGCTCTTTTCTGTGGGTTTCTGGACAAACCTCTGACGATCACTCCTCCACGACACGCAGCCCTATATGGCTGACTACAGACTTGTGTCTGAAACAACACACCGAAAACAAGACCAAAAGTCAGAACGACAGTGACTGTGTCACTGGCCACGGGCACCACACCAGCTGGGACTGGCTCAGAAACCAAGGGGACAATATTTTAAATACATAGAACCCTAAATATGCACATTTTTTAAAATGAATCACCTCTAGCAGAAGGAGCTTGAACTACCCCCGTGTGTCACGAGGAGGCGTGGAGATGCGGCGCCGCAGGTGTTACTCACATGTGGTGATTTCCGTGATGAGCTCTGCAGAATTGTGGCAGCCCTGCACTACGCTCCTCGTCCACAGTGAGAGGTCTCGGCTAGTCTCCGTCCTGAACAGATGGGTTTCAATCCCTTGCCTTGTACCGGTACGGGTTGCGAAAGACAAATCCACCCCTGACTGCGGTGAGCCTTTTCCTGGTCCAGAATGGACCAACCTGCAATCGGATTTGAAAAAATGTCAGGGAATTATAACTGCGCCAAAATCGCCCTCGAGCACAGCTCTGCTCTGTACGTTCCTAAATGCATGTGGTTGGGAGCACGAGAACTCACATCTCCTCTGTAGTTGAGCCTAAAGTGACTCCTGGTGACGCGCAGGAGAGTGAAGGTTGAAAGCAGTGAGTACTGAAGCAGCTGGACATGCAGGTGATGAAGGGCATGTCCCAGAGGGCCCTAAATTCCTAATGAACAGTAGAAAACACCCCTTCGGATAAGGAATCGAGAAAAATCACCAACTGGTCCGTGGTGATGGGGTTTGGTGGACAGATACAAGTGCTCGCTCAGATGAGGCAGCTGAATCCAGCTTTCACTGTCAGGCTGCAGTTGCCATAAAGCTTAAATATCTGCAGACAAATTCAACAGTAAATGCTGTTGGATAAAAAGTAAGAAGTTCTGTGAAATACGCAGATGCCCAAGTACTGTCTTGTGCATACTTTACCCATAAGGAACCTGAAAAACGCAAAATGCTGCAGCTATTTGTAATCTGAAATTCTCTCACATTTTGCAGCAATTAACATTTTTTTGCCTGGCATCGACAGCTGATCTCCCATGACCAGGAAAGGTTTGTTCATCTGGGCAAACACTAATTGCAGGGAATCTTTTTGAGTGAGAAAATCAACACCTCATAATATTTAATTCTTCTTTAAGACTGCCCTTTTGGGTTTTTTTCCTGCAGAAGTGCAGACAAAGAATACAGAATTCGCTCAGGGACATGACACTGATTCAGACGACAACAGTAATCCAGAGGAGTTCATCGCACTTTGAGACCCAGGCACTAACCCTCCGAGGGAGGCACAAAATGAAACCACAGAAATTCTTCTGAAAAGCTTATTTATTTCCATTGTGTGTCTCCTGTTTCCCTTTCTATAGGCAAACAGTATACTTCATATGAGATTAGGACGTAAGTATGTAGCATCGTAGTAGAATACTTGCCCTGAAGCATAAAACATTGGATTACGCTAATCATCTACTGAATGCTAATTCACCCTCAAATTATTGTTTTGCATCTAGAAGAATAGTTGCCTGTTAGCTGACACTGTAGAAGTATGCCATTAGAGATGTTAAGAGGAAAAAAAGCAGAAAGGAAAGAAAAAAGCACAACTTTAGCTTTACAGTTATTGAAACACTAACCGTAGGGCACCTGAAATTTTCCCCAATTCCCTGGCAGTCCATGCTGACATTTGGGATGTGCCTTGTGCCGAACAGATGCGTCCCTCTTTCACACACCACTAGAAGGTTTGCAAGATTTGTTTATGCTCAGGTTTGTGGTGTCTTCCTTAGGATTTTGAGCATCCGCTTTAATTTTATGGTCCCAGGAGGTCCCAGAAGGCAAGGGGCAGAGTATCCCAGGCAGAGCTGCCCTGCCCTGTGTCTGGGCAGGAAAGCCTCTTCCGGAGAGGCACCACCACTCTCTCCAAACGCTTTTTTTGCCCGCAGAAGGGCTGTGTTAACGCCACACTCAGCTTTGATACTTGAGGCCTTTTGTATCAGAAACAGCGTGGCCAGCAGGACTGGGGCAGTGACCGTCCCCCTGTACTCGGCAGTGGTAAGGCCACACCTTGAATCCTGTGTTCAGTTTTGGGCCCCTCACTACAAGAAGGACATGGAGGTGCTGGAGCGTGTCCAGAGAAGGGCAACGAAGCTGGTGAAGGGTCTGGAGCACAAGTCTTATGGGGAGCGGCTGAGGGAGCTGGGGTTGTTTAGTCTGGAGAAAAGGAGGCTGAGGGGAGACCTTATCGCTCTCTACAACTACCTGACAGGAGGTTGTAGCGAGGTGGGGGTCGGTCTCTTCTCCCAAGTAACAAGCGATAGGATGAGAGGAAACGACCTCAAGCTGCGCCAGGGGAGGTTTAGGTTGGATATTAGGAAAAACTTCTTCACCGAAAGGGTTGTCAAGCATTGGAACAGGCTGCCCAGGGAAGTGGTTGAGTCCCCATCCCTGGAGGGATTTTTTAAATGTGAAGATGTGGTGCTTAGGGCCATGGTTTAGTGGTGGACTTGGCAGTGCTAGGGTTACAGTTGGGCTCGATGATCTTAAAGGTCCTTTCCAACCTAAATGATTCTATGATTCTATGATTGTAACTGCACCCCGGGCAGATTTTGCAGTCGGGGAGTCAGCGGCAAACAAACAGCCCAAAAACTTCTATTCACTGATTTGGCACGAGGAGGTGCAAACTCTGAGGAGAAGCTGCATCTTGAAAATTAAGGCAGGAGATCGGGAACTGAACTCTCCAGTGACTTCTGCTGCTGCCTGACCCTGTCCAGTCACTCAGGCGCAGGCACGGCCACCGCTCTCACGCTGCCTTTTGCTGCCCAGGGGGCAGAACGGAAGGATAACTGCAGGAAAGCAGCCTGGAAAATCACCTCAAGTTTGTCATTAAAAATAAAACTATCCCAGCTTCTCCCTGGGTCATCCCTTCTCTTTTATACAGTGCTCATCAGCTGTGCTAAAAATTGTTTTCTAATACTTGTGATACTGGATATGTGACAGCCAGGTGGTTCCAATGTTTTATTTCCTTTCAAATCCACCTCCCCGCTCCCCTACGTCTTCAGGCTTTATCCACAGCACTGGCATTGTAGGTTTTTTTAGCGTATGGATAGAATGAAGATGTACTTTACAAATTAAATTATGCGGACACATTCAACATGAACATTGTTTCTTGCCTACCTTCTCATTTGCATTATCCCCTCATTATTAAAAATTCATTCTCACTATTTAAAAATCCTTTTCTATCATGTAACTCCAGCCTGTGCTTTGGAAAATCATGCAGTTAAATATGAACTAGACAAATATGCAGGGGAACATTTGATAGTATTTAGCTATGAGCTGTCAGTACTGTTGTATTTGGGTACAGGTCAAAGGATTCTCAAGCTTTAATAAAGCTGCATTCACATGAGCTGTTTCATTTACATAAAAGAAAGATATTTGCTCCTAGAGACCACAAAAATACCTTAAAAGGCAAAAAATAGTCTTAGAAACTTCACAAAAGGCTTTCCCTCGCCCCCGCCTCCCGTCGCTCGACCGCAGCGGAGGGTGTGTGTGCTGCACGCTGCACCCCAGAGCCGAAAAGGCACCCCAGGGCCGGCTCTGGTAATATTCAGCCGCAGTCCCTGAAGGTTACTGGGCTCCGTGGAGGTTTCTGAGATGTCTGGGAGCAGGCAGGAGCCTGAGCACGCTTCCCTGGAGCAGCCAGAGCCGCAAGAGGGCAGGAGAAGTTTGGTCACGATCAAGTCTTTGCACAGGGTGTAGATAGCAGGCAGCGGCTGTAAAATACAACTCCTGGCATGCTCCAGGGAGCCACTTCTAATCTTCTCTAATTTCTCCCTTGTCTCTCTCTGTTTTGGGGACCTTTTTAGCATTATTCTTTGCAAACGTGTGATAGCAAGATGGGTACAGTTCAACTTGACATGCTGGTGCTGGGTGAGACTCACTGGGACCTGCTTCTCAGTCTAATGCTAAGAAAGGAATTTCAACCATTTACTGCAACAGCAAAATCTAACGGCCTCTTCAAAAAGGACAGCGAAACCAGCACTGACATTCAAAGCAAGTCTTCAGCTGCTCATTTGAGATTTATCTCAGAAGAGGCTGTGATACAAATGCATCAACAGTCACGCAGCTCTGCCCAGCAGAAAGCCACCATCATCTGACCTTTCTTATGTTGAAGCCACTCCTTGCCCCTGACTTAGCATTTGAAACCTGCTCTGGACCGGCTGGACTCTTTGGAAAGCTATGCACAGGCCCTCATTCATCCCAGCTCCGCATGGAGGGAGCCACAACCACCCCCACTGCCCTGGGAAGACGAGCGGAGAACTTGCACCACTTGCACGCCATCTCATACATCTTCCCTGGGGTGCTCAGGGACCCCAGTGCTCCCCGCCTGCCCCTCTCTCCGCTTGCACAGACGACTAATCAGTGCCCAAACTCCTTTCCCAACTTGCCATGGCATTAGCTATCAAACTGCTTTAATATTTTCTGGTTACAGACCTCAGCTTCGCACAAAAGCTACTTACCTGATCTTTAATCAGAGTCCAACATAGGCTGCTTCTTTTTTTTTTTTTTTTTCATTTCATATCTGGCTACGATAGATAACACAATTTGATTGCAAACATTTAAGATGTAATTACTTAAGCCCCATTCCCATGCTAGAGGGAGGCACTGTTATTCAGGCATAAGGAAACACTGAAACAGAGATTATGACAAACAGGTCCTTGGAGTCAGGGCTCCGAGCCAGCTGCTGTGCCTCCCGGTGCAGAGATTTAAAGCAACAACTTAAATCTCCTGATCTCAGTTTTATTTGAGCTATTACTTATATTCCGCACAAAGCTGGGAAAGACTGACTGGAAAATATTTTTAGGTCTTAATAGCACCCATAGGTTGAAGGCAAACGTACCAACAAACAGAAAGGACATGTTGCAATTCTGCTGTTAAAATACTGTAGGAAGATTGTAATCCTTCTACCACTTTCCAATTTTCTCTGCTCATTATGTCTTGGGTAGATTAAGCATGACTCTGTACAGTATCTGGCACTGAAGTTTTCCAGTTTCAGCATCTTTTCAAATATGCATTAGCTAAGCAAAAATTTTTCCCAAGGACTCATAAAAATATGAAAGATGGGAGCAGCCAAGATTACAACATGTGGTCTGCAAACTTTCCAGGTGAAAAGTTCTAAATTGCACCGATCAATGCACAGAGGGGATTAAAAAAACCATCACGAGGAGAGTAATCACTGACCGAGCATGAACACAGCAGTCAATACCAACAGCAAATCCTGTGTATTTTTTTTGGTATAACTGTACTCCGTGTGACAGATCATAAAAGCAGAATCCTGCAGGGTTTTAATCAAAATCATCCAAAACAGTAGGTGTAATGATTTAGGAATCTGTCAATTTATGTAATCTGCTCACCTTGGGGATTCGTGTATTTATACGTATTTATCAGATTGCGAGTCCATTCTGAATATCATGTTTGGTATATCCGCTGCCTTTTTACGTGAGGGTTAAATTCACAGTGATCCTAGTAAGAAACCCAGGGGCTGAAATGGTCATCTCCCTTCCCAGAGCAGGGCTAACTGTGCCGACACACTCCTGAGGGTTACAGTGTCACCCGTCTTTCAAAGTCCCCAGTGATGAGGATTGTACACCTTTCCCAGAGAATCTAATCCAGTATCTCACCCACACACCAAGTTTTTCCCAGGACCTACCCTGAACCCCCCCACTAAATGCAGCCAACTATGTCCTGTTGTACCCAGCAGGGAACATGCTCTCCTGTCCTTGTGTCTCATCTTCATACCTGAAAACTATTGACATGTTTTCCATGCACTTCTCTAGATTAAACAACTAAGGTTTCTTAAGTATTCCCCTACTGATAGTGTTTTCTACATTTGCATTGCTTTCTTCTAGACCTTCCATAGTTAACTGGCATGTTTTTGGAAGTGCAATGCCTCACACGAAGGTGGTGTATCACCCGAGGCTTTTCTCATGCTCTGTAGTTCGGTTAGATTGCTACATCTGCCCAATGTGCAACACTTCTGTTATAACCCAAGATGATTGTCTTTGTTTTCTCAATAACATAACACCGTAGATTTAAGCAATTTCGCCACGCTGCCCAGATGCTTTCTGGCAGAGTAACTGCTTTGTCAGTTGTTCTCCACCCCAAACCAGCACAGCTGACCATTCCCCAGCACTGAACTTTCTGAACTTGTCCTTTCTGAACCGCATCCCATCTTTCTTACAGACCATCTTCCCAGTCCATAAAGACCCTTCAGCAGCTTGACACCTGTGTCAAGCAACTTCTCATTCCCTTCCAGCCTGAAGGCCGATGCTCCTCCACTCACATGGGAATCCCATTGGACAAGGAGATGACTATCCCCACCCAAGGCAAGCCAGTCTGCTCTCTAACCTGAACTCTTGAGAAAAAGTAATTAAGTAACAGGCCCTCCAAGATGAGGACTTAGATTGTTTGATCCAGTAAATCAGTGGTCACTGATGACGGGGCTGGTGATGCCCACCAAAGGGCTGTCTTCGCACGTGACCATGTGTGGGCAGGAAGGGGTAGGGTGTGCTACAGGATCCCCAGTCACCGTAAGGAGGAAGACTTAGGTCCATGTACAACTGACACCCCAAAACACTGCGGAGGAGACGCATCACCTTCTGCTGGGGTGCTCTTGCTTCACAAACTCTAAGGCCTCAGTGACACATCTGGACGCAGCCTCTGGCTCCAACACCTTACCCAGTTTTCATCAGGAATTGCCACATGGAATTGCCAACCTTCACCTCCATGCGATGCGGCAGGCTGCAGGCTGCAAAGCATGGGTCTCTCGCCTCCCGTTATGATAACAAAGGGTGAGTCAGAAGCCAGCTTCCCAGGAAGTCTGAAAGCTCCATCATGGGTAGGTAGACTGGGACAAAACAACCATCAGCATAATTCACTGAGTTCAACTTCATTTTTTTTTAATATAATGATTTAGCAGCAAAGCCTCAGTTCATTTGGGGAGAGAACTAAGAGACCAAGAACAAAAATTAACTAATGAGAGTGCAGTAAGAGACCCGCTGCTTTTGGCCATGTGCTACCAGCCCTTCTGAATGAGAACTCATTGAAAATGGTATAATAGAGGCTGGGTAGCAAGGCCAAAACAATGGAACGGCAGCTCTTTCTCAAGCCCTTTGACCATACTGGCAGAGAAATGTAATTAAGATTCACATCAAGAAGAACAGACAGTTTCCACTGCATAAAGACAACCATGGGAAAGCTCTCTCTGAATTAGTGTTGATGGATACCTTTGAAATAATGCAGATTTCCAACCTAGATTCAAGAATGTGTCTTCCAAGCTCACCATTTTAAGCTAAAAAAGCCAGGAATTAATTTGCTAGAGCAGGAACATGAGCTGTGCTGAAATTAAGTGTCTCCACCACATGTGCAAGCCCCCAGAAGCCCCAAACCGGTGGTGCAGAACTGCCACAGCAGCATGTCCAACTCAGGGCAGCAACTTCACGTTTTTCAGCCTGGAGGAGCAATTGGAAATCTGAGTGCTTCTGCCAAGCCCTCAGGTCTGTACGCTGAGATAGAAATCTCGGGAGATTGAGCTCTCGGCTTTTTCAGCACTCCTGCCTCTGGATCCAGGCCAAACGGCCGCATCCATAAATCCTTCTGGTGTCCTTCTGGCCATCAGCCTTGGCCAGAACTTGAAACAGAGGAGAAGTGAGGAGTTAAACTGAGAACATCAGCCCATTGAAGAACAATCTGCTTCTCAAACCACGACATTTCAAGTGTGATATAAAGCTACGAACCAGCTATACCTGTTCCCGGCTGACTCAGCCGTTCCCACCGCTCTTGAAGTGGTTGTAGTAAAAAAGCACAGGTACCTGGTGGCTAGCAGGGGGTAGGTATGCAGAGGGCTGAACCAAGCTTCCTTCATCCGCGGCATGCTCTCGTATATTAAGAGGTCTTTCTCCGTCAAGACCACTAATACTGGCTTCCAATGCTTCTCGTTGTCTCCTGGCACCTGAAAAAGAGTGAAGTCTCAGTGAAATAAAAAGAGACAAAGCTACCATCATGGAAAGCCTGACGATATGAACATGTTGAGTCCTGGGCGAGATAATGAACAAAAGAGACTTTTACTTCTTTGGCTTTTTGACATCTCCCACCTGAATTTATAACCAGCTGCAGCAGAAATGGAGTAAAGTGCAATGACATCTGCTGCTCTCATTAGCACTGCCATTTCCAGCTCTCCTTGCAGCCTTCCCTTACTCCAGGCTACTCTGTAAGTGCAGTAGTGGAAGAACACTGAGACAGAGCTGGCTGTTATTTAGCTGTGGTATGCGTGAAAGGACGTTAAATGTATATTTATAATGTGCACCATTCGTGTGTAACTGGCACATTAACCTGAGTGCTGGACCCTGTTGCTGCTGTTTCTATTTTCATGACTGAAAAAAGCTGCGACATCGTCGCTGTTAAAGAAGAGTGTCAGGTAGTAAAAAACAGTGGTTTGGGAGCAGATGCTTTTTTTCTCAGCAGTTCACATTTTCATTGCTTCTCCTTCCTTCATACCCTTCTTCCTTACCAACAGTTTTACAAGTGCCACTGTGTAAGGAGATCCAACCTAAACATGGGATGGACTCAGTGATGGATCTGCATCTACATTTCAAACCCATCTGTAGAAGATGCCTAAAAATTGGGACATCAGAGCCCTTTACTGGCTGCAGAATCCAGATGTGGAATTATAATTTGCAGGGTAGGCATGTGGTCATCCACATGGCTACACAATTAACATTATGGGGATCAAGTATGAATCCTGATTTTTACTTATTCTACATTGGCAGCATTAAAGTGTCTTAAAATATATGGGAATATGAAAGGGTCTTGGTTTCAAGTAAGAATGAAGCTCTTGGCTTTCACAGACAAATTCATGATTTTCCTTTTGGTGCACATAAAGAAAAAAAAAACACATTATGTAGCACACTCACAGCCATGCTTTCAAGCCCAAACTCCTCGGCAGGGTACTAAAGGGAATCGAACAAATTCTGAGATTCACTAGAGATTCACAGGTTGTCTACATGACTCCTCCATTAAAACCTTCTCCGGGAAAGAGAAGCAGTTGTCTATGGTGTTCTACGGTTGATGCCAGCCTACTTGCCATGGGTGTGCACCACTGGGCACATCACTGGGTCAAAAAACACATAAAAGGGATCAATCAAAGGTTGGCCAGGCTGAGGGTGGCACAGCCAGGAAGAGTGATTTAGATCCTTAAGTACGATGTGTCTTAAGTGATGGATTCAGATTGAGAACCGCATTTGAATTCATTTTATATGAAGAAATGGTCTAAACTTTTAAGGAATTTCAAGACAGTTGTAAGATAGCTTCTCACCAGAACACCAATGCCCAAAACAGATCTTAAACTTAAACTTAAACCAAAGATTTTTGGCTTACATCGTTTTTTAAGAGGTATTTTTCCTTCTGAATTAAACTTTTACAATAATTATATTCCTGTTTACAGCATTACTTGCTCATTGGTTTTTCATGTCTGTGTGTTAATCAACTTAAACTTGTAAAAGGTTCATCCTTTTAATTTCTTCAGAAGTGTCAATACTTATTTACAATTTTCTTGTGGTGACAGTTTCTTGAAATGCAACCTTTCATTTTCAAATAGGGCTGAATAGAGAAGCTGCGTAATTAACACACCTATTAATACACTCCAGAAAGAAGGCAAAATCCAGAGTTCTCACAGCCCATGTACCACGGAAATATTCACACAAGCAAAAAGCATCCTCAGCTTCTTAATACCACAGTTATTAACTACAGCTAACACCCCGGTTCCTAGCATGGGAATATAAAAATGAATGTTACAGTTAATGTTAGCAATTAATACATGTTACCGTTAATGTTAACATTTAACTTTTGAGCATCTGCCTGTGTTCTTTAATTCAAAGATTTTAGTACATACTTTTGAAGAACTCCAGAAGGGAAAAAGGAAGATAAACATGAAGTCTATCATAGAATGAAAAACTAGGATGTTCAGATCCATAATCTGGAGGAGTAAGCAGGCAGCGTACTGGGCTGTTACTTCTTATTTTCCTGTTCCGTGACCACAAGCAATCCAAATACTATGGGAAGCTGCTCACATCTTTTCTGCAGAACCATCCTGCCTGTGTAGCGTTTTCAATCACAAGCTTTGTTATTAGGTGGCTGGTCAGTCAACTGTGACTCCAGAAACTTTGGGAAACACTGTTCCCTGTAAAGCAACCACAAGAAAGGGAATAAAATTCATTTCATCAGCTGGTCCCAGAACTATTTGCTGGACAGGCATAAGCATCAGGAGCCAGAATTTCCAGCGCGGATCCTGCGGTTGCCACCTGCACAGTGAAGCCCACAGCTTTGCCTCAGTTCTTCCCAATAGCAGGCGACTATGGAGAAGATGTGGCTTGGTCATAAGGTATTGAAGACTTTTTCTCAAATATAAGTGACCTTATACTATCTCTCCGTGTAGGATGTATCTCCTGTTTGTAGGGTGTATACTGGGAAGGGGAGAGAGGAGAACGATGTTTGCCTGTCTCCTGCTAGGAAGCCATCCCCAGTAAGAAGGGCCATGCAATACACACACTTTTAATCACATTTTTTAAACCTTACTGGGACCATAGCTGTCTCACTGCTAAGGAATGCTGGTGTAAGCAATACTGCTGCTATTTCAGACCTGAAAAAGGATTTGTGTGCCTGAAAGCTTGTCTGGTTTTTTCCAACTGTAACAGTTGATCTAATAAAAGATATTGCCTTTCCTTAAAAACCTTAAATTGCATTACTGTTCCCTGATTTCGTTGGGGTTTGGATCAGGCTTTAGCAGCTGATGCCGTGCTGTTGGACAGGCAGTTGGCGCTTCTGGAAGGTGTCAAGGAGAACACTCTGTCCCGTAAATGGTAACAGCAAATTTTACAAAGGAAGAAGAGAGGCTGCAAATATACCATCAGTCTACAGGGCACATTCAGAACAAATCAGCATGGGAAATTAATCCAGATCAAGCAAGTATCATCATACCAAGCATGAGTACAATAGCAAATTTCAAAACAAATGCAAAAACCATGCTGCTCATGGGCAGCTAAATGAAGGATTTGTTCAAGTTTCAAAAGTTTTAAAACCTGACATATAAAGGTAACATGAAATACTTCTGTAAATTTAAGTATCATTTGAGATAGATTTCAGAGGCACCATTTTAGACGATGGTTAAGGCCAACTTCTGAGCCAGAATTTTGCAGAATTCTGGCACTTGCGCTACAGTTCCTTCACTCCAGCTCCCCCTTGCACATGTGCAATTCAAAGTGCATTGATCTGTGTTGCAGACACGGAGAACCACCATCTACTCCAAAAACCTTTTCAAACTCAACCCTTTTTCAAAGTCAAAAATGTTAGATGAAATCTAGATGAACTAGAGAAAAGAAAAAATCAGTACTTCTTAAATCTCCCACCACAATAAAATGAATCAGCAAATTTTTTGCTGGTCTTCTGGGCACTGTTCAGGTAACTCTTAGCAACAGGTACCCCCTCTCCATGCTCTGCTCATCTCAGCTGAGGTCACTGCTTATATTCCCAGGTGAAATTCCACTTCAAGTCAATGAAGCTGTAAATGTTTATACCAGAAGCAAACTTTTTTTCTTTTTTTCCCTAGACTCACCGTGCCTCTAGATCAAAGTCTTCAAATACAAACCTGAAAAGGGAGAACATATTCTAACAAAAAAACCCCAAGTGCGGTGAAGCATCCCTTTTGCTACTCGCAAACCTCTTTGCTCCTCATATACTCACCCTGTGAAGTGCAAACCCCACTTTTTCCCATATGCACCTCTCTGGTTTACCTTTCCAAATTCAGAAAATATTTCATGTACAGCAGGGATGAAACCTCATTTTTTTGCATATAACAACATGATGGCTGGGCCTGGAATGACACCAGAGGAAACCTGTGTTCACATCTCGCTCGGCCACTGGCTTCCTCTGCAAAGTCAGTCTAAACTCTCTGCGTTTCTGTATGGACATTGCGGTCTCTGCTGGGGTGGCAAGTGCTGCTGTAACACACACAGCAGGAACAGATGTCAATGTGAAGGCGGACGAAAAGTGCGTAAGAATGGCTGCTGTAGTCAGCAGCTACGTGGAGACTTGTCCATCAGCCTTTGGCTGACACAAGAGCAGAAGTGCTTCAATGTAGAAAGCAGACAGCTCACGCAGCGTTAGGACACACCAGACCCCACCGCACTGAGGATGCGCCTGAGCTCTGGCTGCTTCAGGATGCCTTTGCAGTGGTGGGGCAGCATTGCTCCAGGCTTTGCTTTAGGGACAGATCTGTGGTCTGAAGGACTGACTCTGCAAATAACGACGTAGCAAACTCAACACTACCTGTACGACCGCTCCTGCTGGTTTTCTGGCAACTGCTCACGTGCTTAACGCCACTGCTTGCAATGTACCCTTAAAGAGTAACTCCTCTGATATGCAGCAAACAATATTTCAAAGAAGAACCAGCTTGGTTTTCCTGCAGGCAATGGGAACCCCTGGCCCTTTTAATGGGTGTCACAGCTTCCAAATCCTTAATAGTTTTCACATATAATTAGTTGCCGTAAAGACAACGAGCATCTCAGTGGAGATAAATCCTTTTACAAATGGTTTGGCCCTTTGCTCTTTCATCTGCCAGGTCTCCTTTTCATAAGTTTTTTCTTTGAATTTCAGTTATTCATCTACTTCAGGCTGCCAGGAACGGATGAAAGAATACTTTTAATCTATGAGGCTCACAGATAATTAAATTAGAGGCGTCAGTCTACTCTAGAAAGCTGTTTTATATTTTCATTAACTCAAAAGGGACATTTCAATTACATTCCCTGTTTAGTAAACAAATAATATATTGCCAGCAGACTCCACTGCAGCAAGTATCCAAAATGTGGCCTTTCAGAGAACTGTTGTGAAGGTAGCAAGTTTATGCTTACAGTAAGTGGTTTAACCCCCTTTTCCATCACCCGCTCCCAAATTCCAGAG